ATTGCTTCACTCAAGCCACAGCAGGTCTGCTTAAGGTGTTTTTCTTCTGATTTAATATAGTAACAAAGATGACTATGTATATACATTAATAATTATGTATTCATATATATTAATATATCTTGATATATATTTTCTTTACACAAAATTAGAATCATACTTAAAATAAAAAATAGACTTATTTTTTAATCTTAATATGATACTAGAAATACTTTCCTTTTTTAATATATTTTTTAATGTTTATGTATTTATTCTGAGAAAGCACATGTGCATGTGTGAGTGGGGCAGAGGCAGGGAGACAGGGAGGGAGAGAATCCCAAGCAGGCTCCACACTCAGCACAGAGTCCCATGCAGGGCTTCAATCCCACAACCATGAGATCATGACCTGAGCCAAAAATCAAGAGTTGGATGCCTACTAACTAACTGAGCCACCCAGGTGCCCCTAAACATTTTCCTAAGTAGTAGTTAAATCATGAATAAAATTTAAACTTAGATCTGGGCTCAAATTCAGATTCTACCATTTACTACCTGTGCAACTTCAGGTAACATGTATCTTCTCTTTGCCTAGGTTTTCTCATCTATGAAGTTGAGGCAATTTGAGTAATTGTCTCACAAGCTTATAAAGAACTGAATGAGGGGCACCTGGGTGGTTCAGTCTGTTAAGCAACCTACTTCAGCTCAGGTCATGATCTCATGGATCGTGAGTTCGAGCCCTGCGTCAGGCTCTGTGCTGACAGTTCAGAGCCTGGAGCCCCACTCATACTCTCTCTCTCCTTCAAAAATAAATAAACATAAACAAAAATTAAAAAAAAAAAGAAAAAGAATTTAATGAGAATTCAGTTAAAACTCTTAGCACATTTGAAATATGCTAAGAACATATTAAACTATTATTATTATACAAATAAAGGATCTTAATGGCATCATAATTGTATTCTTTCCAACTTTTCACTACAATAAATCTGAAATGCTGGTCTGTATTTCTTGCTCATAAATTTTGGTCTAATGTCTTTGGTTGTTCCCTTAAATTCAGGAGCTAACACATTACACCAAGAAACTTTATTTTCAAGTAAAATTTTAACAGAAAGGGAGAATAAATGAAATCTACTAATAAGGGAATGCTGAGAGACTGAAATGCTTGGTGAAACAAGCAAAAACCTCTCCTTGGGGTAACTGAGATGGCTCAGCTTGAGGAAAGTTTGAAAATCACTGAGCAAGAAACAGACCAGTAATGTTAAAGTCCTCTCTCACACTGGAATAAACAATGGGTTGCCAGAATGTGATTGTTCTGGTGCTGTGCCGCAGGCAAACACAGAACAATAGCGCTGTGGCTGCCTATTCCTTTTAAGCATTCCACAGCTAAGAAGAAATTCAAGCACTATAAATCCTGTATTCTTTCACAAACTGTATGTTAATACAAGTGGTGAAGAGATTCTAATGCCACTGGGTAGAACAGTCAAGAAATAAGCTAGCATTTTCATAAACCTATCAGGGAAAATAAAATGTGGTTTTAGCTACATTAACCTGATTTTCTGCTTCCCTATTATACCAGTACTCAACTGTCAATCAAGTCATGAGTATGAGTATAAGAGTCAAAGAAATGGTATTCCTACCATAAATGGATTGGAAATGATCCATAGGAAACTTTTTAAATTTTTTAAATGTTTATTTATTTTTGAGAGAGAGACAGAGTACGAGCGGGGATGGGCAGAGAGAGAGGGAGACACAAAATCTGAAGCAGGCTCCAGGCTCTGAGCTGTCAGCACACAGACCGACGCAGGGCTGGAACTCAACGAACCTCGAGATCATGACCTGAGCTGAAGCTGGACACTCAACTGACTGAGTCCCCCAGGTGCCCCGTGTTCCATAGCAAACTTAATCCACACCTCAGTAGAATTTCTTAGTCATGTGTAAAAGGCCACTAACTAATCAAAGTAATGTCTATTTAAGCATAACATTCACAACTCTTTTAAAGGTTCAAATAAACCAAAAAAATATTAGACATTATATCCAATAAAATGTTTTATGGCGATTTAAGATAAATATGTTCCATAAGAGATAACAGGCTCAATGCTAACATTCAATGATTAAAATTTTCTGAGGCCATTAACTTTGCTAAAAAAATTAAAACAAAATTTGCCTTAATTTGCTTTTACTTAAAAACTTTCTGAAAATGTGAAACCTTTAGAAAACACGTAATAAAACAATACAAATTATAAACAGATAATATAAACTACACTGTGGAAACTAAGAGATATAAATTATAACATAATCCTAAACTTTCCAGAGCTTGCCAGGTTACAATATCCTCTATTGAAGTATCAAGCCTGCAACTGCAGCTTGTTTTTAAAACAGGTGTCCAAGAGAATGTCACTTGATCTATGTGTCCTTGCTTTGGTAAGTGATACAGACACTGAGGCCAAGAACCAGAATTATGCTTTGACTAGATCTCTGAACTGACCACAGTCTATTCAAGCTACTTGAGCATTTGAACACCAAGCAAATATGCTATGTTAATTACTGTTATGTGATCTTGATGTGAATTAATCCCTCTTCCTATTAACCTCCCTAGTAAATGAAGCTTTAATGCTTAGCTGATAACAAGGGCTGGGATAATCCAGAGCAATATAAAATTTAACAGATGAGGAAGCAATAAGTAATGACCATTCATATAATATATATTTATTTCACATGGCAGAAAACCTATGTATTCAAATTACATCGTGGCCAAGCATTAAAACTGAAACCAAGACAGGTAGGGAGGGGTGGGAACGTAATTCCTATTTAGATCTTCATATGTTCTCCACAGCAAGCTTTTCACGTGCTGGTACTGATGGTTATAGGATGCCACAGAATTTAATAATCAGACAATATGAATCAACAACTGATAGGGTTTGACAGTTTGTTAACCCATCCAGCAATTACTTGCATACAGCCACACACAAATAGCAGGGACTCCTGTCTCCATAAAGGGTATTTTTATTCAGAATATAGTATCCCTAACCACCAGTCTACGTAACCCAAAGTACTATAACTTCTAATAACAAATGTTACAAGTCAGAACTGATTTTTTATTTTAATATTAATCCTAAAAATATAACAACTAAATACAGTTGGTAATTAAAAATATAGTTTTATTTATTGGAACAGAGCAGTACCACGCTAGAATCTATTCAAATATTTCTGTAGGGCAGTAACACTATGGTACTACATTTAGGAAACTGACTGTACCCATACTGGTATCATGGCTGGAACAAGGAGTCTAGAGTCACGCATGATCTGTTCACGTAAAATAGTCACAAATGCTTTCTCTGTGTTGGTTACTGTCTAGACTTTGGAAACCTCTACTGATTTTCTCATTCTCCCCATAACCATTATAAATGCTACCACTGCTACTAGCTCATTCTTATTAAGCAGGAACTCAAAATGGAAACTACGTTTAAGTGAAAAGTAACAGCTTACAAAATATATATATATATAATATAATATATAATATAATACTAAATTATAATATATTATATTATAATTCTATTTCTGTAAAATAACACGTGTCCTTACATGTGTGTGTGCTTTAAAAATGAGAGCTCAAATACTAGTAGTGGTTATCTTGGAAGGTCGAATTATGTACAAACTTTTATTTTTGCTTTCTGTTTAATTATTTTTGAAATGTGCAATGTGAACATTTAAAATGTAAAAGCTATTTTATTTTTATTTATTTATTTTTTTACTTTTTTAAATGTTTTATTTATTTCTAGGAGAGAGAGAGAGAGAGAGACAGTGTGAGCAGGGGAGGGTCAGAGAGAGAGGGAGTCACAGACTGAAACAGGCTCCAGGCTCTGAGCTGGCAGTCAGCACAGAGCCCGACGCGGGGCCCGAACCCACGAACCGCGAGATCATGACCTAAGTGAAAGTCGGATGCTTAACCAACTAAGTCACCCAGGCGCCCCTAAAGCTATTTTATTTTTAATCATATACTGTGTGCTGTGTCCTTGACATATTTATTATTTAATAGTGGGTCAATGAAAAGACTATTTATATTTGGTTCTTAAAGTATTGAGGCTTCTTGGGCTCCATTTTAAGTATTAACTAGAAACATTATCCTAAGCAATAATTATGTAATAGAATAGGGGAAAATGCAAGTAAGCCTTGACCTGATTCAACTTTAGAGAAGCCATTGTTGCAACTATTTCGAAACAGGATAAATTAAAAAAGAGGAGCGAGCTTGAGCAGTCATTTCAACCGATTACATTTATTACTTCCAATAAGGCAACTCACAGAAGCAACAAGTTCCTGCTGGTGGGACCCTGGCAATCAACATTCATATCCATGCCTTCTAACATTTAGAAATCACTTATTAAGAAACACCGAGAGGTTAAGTAAGTGACAATATAGTGCACTCACATAAGATCTCTGAGTCTTTTTCCCCCTCATGGAATTTAAGAGACATTAAAACAGATATGGATTAAAAAAAATATTTTAAAGAAACAAGTTATGACTTAATCTAAAATTGAAAGCATTTATGAATAGATTCAAAGGTAATTACATCTTTCAGTACTTAGGTATTCAAAAATCCAATCTTTTTTTCTCTAGGGCTCAGAGTTCTTTACTTTTGTCACTAGTTATTTTTCATCTAAATGAAAAGTCCTCACTTTTACAATCTATAAAAGAATGAAGTTCAGAGAAATAATCTTCAGGGTCCCTTTGAGTCTTAAAATTTAATTACTCTCTGAAAGACCACATTAATCATTATTTTTTCTTAGTTTTGACAGGAATTAATAACTGAGAAAACTGGTTATTTTTAACTTATTTTCAGAGTCCAGAATTACTTTTCATTACAAGCGATTCTATGAAATATATATTTTTTATTTATCACTTGGGTAACTACTACCTAAAAATATAGCAAGAATATTTTCACTGAAAAAAAATCTGAAATCATTCAGAATAAAAAAAAAAATCAACACTGGGATCAGGTACTTTCAAGACAATTCCAAAAATGAATAACCAACCTGATGACCTGGTTACAGTGGGCACACATTGGAGTTCGTTTCCCTGCAGGAATGTGCTCAGCTCTTTGCACTAAAGTGTCCTGGTCATGTGGCTGGGGCTGTCCCCTAGCTGAGGTGGCTGGTGCCACTGCTCCTGACGAAGTTGCACTGCTTGAGATTCTTCCACTGGAAAGTGCTAGGAGTTAAGACACAAAAGAATCAGAAGGAATATAAGCCAAATACAAAGTTTTTCTAATAATCAAATAATAATACTATTTTTTAAAATAATATATTCATAGATAGCAACACAGGCCTACCTCAAGAAGCAAGAAAAATCTCAAATACTCAACATAACCTTACACCTAAAGGAGCTAGAAAGAGAACAGCAAATGAAGCCTAAAGCCAGCAGAAGAAGAGAAATAATAAAGATGAGAGCAAAAATAAATGATACAGAAACAAAACAAAACAAAACAAATCCAGTAGAACATATCAATGAAACTCAGAGCTGGTTCTCTGAAGGAATTAATAAAACTGATAACCTCCTAGCCAGACTCATCAAAATAAAAGAGAAAGGACCCAAATAATAAAAATCATGAATGAAAGAGATCACAATCAACACTACAGAAATACAAACAATTATAAGAGAATAGTATGAAAAACTATATGCCAACAAACTGGGCAATCTGGAAGAAATAGATACATTCCTAGAAACATAAAGTATCAACACTGAAACAAGAAGAAATAGAAAACTTGAACAGACTGATAACCAGCAAAGAAATTGAATCGGTAATCAAAAATCTCCTAAGAAACAAAAGTCCAGGGCCAGATGGCCTCCCAGTGAAAATTTACCAAACCTTTAAAGAAAAGTTAATTTCTATTTTTCTCAAACTGTTCCAAAAAATAGAAGGAAGGAAATAGAAATGGAAGGAAAATTTCCAAACTCATTCTATAAGGCCAACATAACCTTAAAACATTAAAAATAGAAATGCCATACGATCCAGTAGTTCCACTATGAGGTATTAACCGAAAGAAAACCAAAACAGTAATTCAAAATAATATACCCAACCCTATGTTTACTGTAGCAGTATATACAATGGTTAAGATACATAGGAAGCAGTCTATGTATCCATTGATGGATAAGGAAGATGTGGTAAAGATACACAAGGGACTATTACTCAGCCATAAAAAAGAATTAAGTCTTGCCATGTGTAACAACATGGATGGAACTAGAGTGTATTATGTTACGTCAAATAAGTCAGACAAAGACATACTGTATGATTTTACTTATAGGTGAAATCTAAAAAATAAGACAAACAAGCAAAAACCAGAAATAGGTCCATAAACAGAGAACAAAGTGGTCTTTGCCAGAGGTAAGAGGTTGGAGGTATGGGAGAAATAGGTGGAAGGGATTAAGAGATATATCTTCCAGTTATTAAAAAAATAAGGGATGAGAAGTACAGCATAGGGAATATAAAAATATTATAATAACATATGGTGACAGATGGTAATTATATTTACTATGGTAAACATGGCATAATGTACAGAATGGTCAAAAACTACTATGTTATACACCTGAAACTAATATAACATTGTATGTCAACCATACTTAATAAAAAAAATTTAAAATAATTCAGGCAGGAAGACACAACATTTCAAGATAATGGGTTAGCTTTGGGAAAGACACAGAGGAAGGGAGTAAAACTACAAATACAGTATTACAGTGTGCAAAATCACATCTGTAATACTGTATTAAATATCAACGCAAAAGCAGAATAATTATGTAAAAAATAATCTATTCATTTTCTTATTCACTCACTCACATTTATGGAGAGACTATGTATCAAACGCTAGACTGTGACTACAGAAATAAACAGAAAAGAAAATCAAGGATTACAACACAGTGAAAGAGTCTTAAAATTTTATTACTCTCTGAAAGGCCACCTTAATCGTTTATTTTCCCCTTAGTTTTGACAGGAATGAATAACTGAGAAAATTGGTATTTTTAGTTTTATTTTCAGAGTCTAGAGTTACTGTTCATTACAAGGGATTCTAAGAAATAAATAAATATATGTGTGTTTTATACATATATACAAATATATTAAATATAAATATGTATGTGTGTTATCGGAAAAGCAGAGTTGCCTCTGCTTACAAGAGGAGATGCAATTAGGCTGAGCTTTGACAGCAAGGTAGGTCTAGTCATCTAGACATCGCTGCTAACCATCACACAGATTTAACTCCAAATACGTCAGAGGCATATTAAATATCTTCATGTGCTGGAAGATAACAAAAATAAACATGAACACATTGTATTATCTCTCTTCCTGTATTCTCTAAGTACACTGTAAAATTGGTCACCCAGTTGTAGAAAGTAGCTACTTAAGAACCATTCTAGGATCTTTTTCTCCCTCACCTGTGGTAACAATGGGCCCTGCTGATTTTACATCACAAGTACTTCCTGATTTTGCCCCCTCATCTCCCATTCTGACAATACTGTCCTGGTTTAGGTCCTAAATCTCTCCTACTGTGCTAGTCACCAAAACGTGTTATCCTTAAATGCATCCTCTCGAATGCCACCAAGGACTGAAATCTTACAGATCACAACTCTGATAGGCCACTTTAAGCCTCTCCTTCTTCTCTGACCACTGAATGTAGTCCCTGCTTCTGAGCAGTGTATCCAAGGCCTTCCAAGGGCTCACCACTCTCCGCCTCCATCTTCAGGCTGCAGCAATACCCAATGCTTCACGTTTTCTTGTAAGTCCATTTATGCACAGGCTGTCTTCACTGTCCTTTTCTCTCCCCTTTTCTCTCTTTACCTAGTAACCACTACATATTGTTTAAGATTCAACCCAAAAGTCAACTGCTGTAAAAATCTTCCCTGAAGTGCTTCTCCCCACTGCTCATGCCACATAATCCAGATTAAATGTTTCTCTTTCACATTCCCAAATTTTCTGTGAATAACTTTATTACTGTTTCTATTTCCTTTATCTGTGCCTCTTCCTCCCCAAATAGCAAGCTCCCTGAGGGCAGGAACTAGGCCTTATTCCTCAGCCTAGAAGCTAATATAGTGCCTGGAATGAATGAACAAATGAATAAATGAATGAACTGGAATCAATGCATAACTGAACGGGGCACCTGGGTGGCTCAGTTGGTTGGGGTGTCCGACTTTGGCTCAGGTCATGATCTCACAGTTCATGAGTTCAAGCCTCACACTGGGCTCTTTGCTGTTAGTACAGAGCCTGTTTCGGACTCTCTATCTCCCTCTCTCTGCCCCTCCCCTACTTGTGCACACACTCTCTCTTAAAATAAATAAACATTTAAAAAATATAAATGAGGGGTGCCTGGGTGTCTCAGTTGGTTAAGCATCCAACTTCAGCTCAGGTCATGATCTCATGGTTTGTGGGTTTGAGCCCCGCATTGGACTCTGCTGACAGCTCAGAGCCTGGAGCCTGCTTTAGATTCTGTGCGTGTGTGTCTCTCTGCTCCTCCCCCATTCATGCTCTCTCTCTCTCAAAAGTAAGTAAACATTAAAAAAAATGTTTAAAAACCACCTATGAATGAATGTAAAAACTGTGACAACCTGAAACCAACAGGAGGGCTGCTCCTTACCCACGGGCAATTGCAATGCAGTGGAAAAGGCATATATTTAAAAAAACGTTTTAAAGGAATGACTCTTGTTTATAATAAATTCATAATACTATAAATTAACTGCACATGTGTATATTGACTGGACTCATATTATAGGTACGGTTAGAATTGGTAAGATTCATGGGCTAACTGAAAGGATAACTCTCCCTCACCAGAATAAAGCCTGTTTGCAATGATGTACAATTAGGATTCAGAAACCCAGCTTTTATAAACACACAGCACATCTACAGTGCTGTGTCTGGCACTTGAGCTGTGAAATGGCATTTTACAGGCCAGTGAGTTTTACCATTGCCCATGTTTCAAGTGACTCAACTGGGCTAGGAACATGTTTTCATTCCCTTAGAGTCACACTTTCTCTTACAGAAATGGGAAAGAATATTACTGTGTACATTCTCTTCCTCGTTACCGCATTTACTTGCATAGCACAACTCACTCCTCTGTGGGTCTTCCGTTTCTGTATCCAGACCTGGTTTCTCTTAGAGCAACAGATAAGCATTTTCAATGCCAATTCCTGTTCTTGCCTTTAAATTCAAGATGTGAAAAACGGAGTTCATCTTTTTGCACACATTACCTTGGAACTCCTTCCCGTATGTCTGAATTCTGGCACTTAACTGAGGCACAGCGTTCTGTCTCCTATGTGCCTGACAGTCCGCAGGCCCTAACAACTGTTCCACTGTAAATGTTTCCAAGGTCTGTCCCTTCTTTTTAATCCAACCCATGAGTCTATCATTTGAGGCCTGGTCTTGAATCCCTCAAGTTTACACAACTGCAAGTCTCCTAACCAGCCTCTCTGCTGCCAATCTCTTTCCAACCTTTTCTGCTGGATTATTTTCTCAAATATACTATTCTCATCGTGGTTTCTTGCTTATTCAGTCTTGACAGTCCAGTCCCTCAAGGAGTTCACTCCAATCTTTATGACCTTGTCTTTTATGCTCACTCACATCTCTGCCATCACCATACTCTATTATACTAAATATTTAACTTGTGCCATCACTATTTGAAGGCACTCTTGTCAAATCCTTATAACGACTCTATGATTCAGGCAAGATTAGCACCACTATTTTATTCTATCTGAGGCAAAAAATGGTAAGAAACTGGCCTGAGGCCACACAGTAAATAAAGGGCAATCCTGAACCCAGGCAGTCAGGCTCCAGAGTCTGTGTTCTTAATCACTATGCTATAGTTTACGCACTGTCCCTTGAACATGTCAGGCCAGACCCTGCCTCCAGGACCATTAACCAGTGAAATGTCCCTTTCTTCAGTACCACTCATACTTTTTGCCTTCTACAAGGGTCATGGAAGTTCCATTCCCTGAGCTCCCTGCCACTACCCCATATTCCCTGACTATCCCAGCTAGCAGTGTCCTTGTTCCTTTTTTTTTTTTTTAAAGAGAGAGTGTGAGTAGGGGAGGGGCAGAAAGAGAGAGAGAGAGAGAGACAGAGAAAGACAGAGAGCGAGAGAGAAAGAGAATCCCAAGCAGGCTCCATGCTCAGTACAGAACCTGATGCAGAGCTCAAACCTACAACCATGAGACCATGGCCATGACCT